CTAGCACCAAAGGAAGGTCGCATCAAAAAGCGATAGTAAACAGCAATAAGTTGAGGTAGAAATAACACTTATTGGACGGGGTCTTGGGTCCAAAACGCCTGTGAAAGGACACCTAATCATGAATTCCCACGGTGTGGGGTAACACGCGAGCCTCCCAATCTTCAATATCGAAGACGGGAGAAGGTGCACGCCCCTCAGATGAAAATAAGGGAGCCGCGAGTGAGTCGAAAGTGAAATAATGAAAGAATAACGAGCATACGGCAAGATACTTACGATTATAGTTCCATTGCTCGGGAAACCTAGTCGGATTCGCCACCAGGTGCTCGGTCTTGATGAAGAAGAACTTATGCCAGAACCGCCGATTCATCTTATCATCCATCCCGGCCACCAACCCTTTGATCCCACGATGCCGCAGGTGTATCAATGTACCTCTATAAAAATTGGGCAAAAATTTGATCCCATGATGCGAACGTTGACCTCACAGCCGGCCAACTCCGCGTATTTCGCCAGCATCAGAAAAACTTTGTACAAATAAGGGGAGAGCTGCGCCGGGTAGACATTGTAAAATCGACAAAACTCCTCCGCTAATGGGGGGAGAGGAAGGGAATAACCAATTAAGAAAGGGTAAACGTAGAAAGCACAATATCCGGGTTGGTGAACCTCTACGATGTCGCCCCCGGTCGGAACAATTTCAACGTGAGGAGAAATGCGATATTTGGACCGGAGGTCGGCTATTTGAGGCGGTCCTGTCTTAGAAAGCTTCTGAGCAGGAGCAGGAGCAGGTTCCTTTGGGAAGTCATGTCTAACCAAAGAATTCTTGGTTACTACCTCCTCCACGGTGGGGAAGCTTTCCTCCTCTTCAATCATGAATTCCTCATCGCCGGGAGGAAGGGCCACCGATAAATGAGTGGCATCGGAGACTTCGTCGTGGATATGAGGGGATTTTGACATATTTTCGTAGCGAAACGTATGCAACAAAATCTGAAGAAGAAGATATTAACTGGGTAAGAAGTCAGGGACTGGAATTGAAGAGGCTGCAAGGAATTGAAAGAGGAGATCGGAGAAGAAGATCAAAGAAGAACAATGCACATGCGAAATGAGAAATGATGAAAATTTTCGAAAATGACCCCCCCCCCCTCCCCAATCTATTTATAGGGTTGGGTGATACCAGAATCGAAGCAAAGAACCGTCAATGGCACCAAAATCGAAGCGACAGAAGCACATATACTGCATTGGGAAGACGCGTAATGATGGTGCGCGTGGCCATAACATCCCCCCACGTTAGCCACACCAACCGCAGCCCCGCTGGCCGCGCCATTTTTTTGACCTCAGCCGATTCAACTCAATCAATACGACCAAATTTCTTCTAAACGGATGCAGACCGGATCCGCTTATTGAGGACGTGCAAGATCACGACCTCACTAAGTGGAGGGACTAACTGTATTGGTCTAAATTCGGGCGGCTTGATAATTGCAAATAAACTGGGTCGAGGACAGAGTCGACCACGGCACAACGGTGAGGAGTCGTCTTAAGAAGGATTATTGCCAAGGTCAAGTAAATGGAGCAAGGAAGCAACGGTAGGATATGTTTAGCAATAGACATAAGGAATATTCCATTGGATATTCCTTATGTTGCACTTTTTAGGGTTTCTTAGGGATATCCGAAGAGATAAAGAACAAAAGGGGATCTCCACTTTTGGAGAAGGGCACATTGTAAAGAGTTGACTATAAAGAATATACAAAAGCTTGTCTTGTTCACTGACTACATTGTTCAAACATACGTTGTTCACTCTTTGTTTACAAGATCCAAAGATTCCTTATCCATCAATACCTTTCATTATTCCACGTTGCTGTCAGGAAGAAGAATCACCCAAGTCATCTAATATTTGGGTGATAAATTCTTCCTTATTACATTTATTGCCATTATCTATATTTATTGCATGCTTCTATTACTACATTCATTGACAATCACCTAACATATGCTGGATATTTATTGCTCTTGAACACGGTCTCATCCCATTGATCCCCTTCAATCTTAGATCTAGAATTTACTATGTTTAACTAGGATTCATCCTCTATGTCCTCACTAATTAGTTTAACAGAAAGCTTAACATTTTTTGATCAAATAATTTATAAATTAAAATCGAGGGAGTAGATAAGTTACGAATGGACAACATTAGAAATGAATGCACCGTACCATCCTTTGTACCAGAGGTTCACGTTTAGAATGGACACTAAAAGAAAAGGTGATAAGACAGAAAATTGGTTTGTTTGAGAAAAGATTTTTCAAGTTTTTCAAAAATATTCGAAGAGCGTTTTTGTTTAAGTTGTTTTTTAAGAAGCTTTTCGTTAAAAAGAAAAATTAAACGAAGAAGTGATTTGAGGATGTCTGTCATTGAAAAACTCTTTTTTCACTTTCAAACGATTTCTATAAATCTTTAAAATATTAGAACAATCCAAATATATCCTATAACTTCCACTAGCTAAAATCTCTGATTTTTTGAGTTTGTTTCTTTATTTTAAAGGAACTTATTTCCTTTCCCCCCTAAATATATATCCATTTTGATAGTCATTTATAAGTAAATTATCTCACAATGATATTCCTCAAATATATAGATTCTAAATAATCAAAGGATTTTATTTACATAAATAAAAAGACTAGAGACCAAAATGTACAATTAACCAACCATAAGGTTTTTGTGTGCTCACAGATTAACGGAAACATAATCGTACAACCTTAATGATCAAATTGGTTTATAATTCATTACCTAGTCGTGAATCTTTTTAGTGTTAGATTTGTAAGCGTTTAGTCAATATTCAAAATAAATTCTCATCTTTGTTTAGTCTCTTTATTTATGCAAGTCTAGTAGTTCGATTGAAAAAGTACATCCCAAAGAGCCTTATAGGAATGATGACAAAGCTGAAGAAAGTAAAGAGTTCAAGTTCATTATATCGAACTACAACTATGATATGAATCTTTCGTAATGCAAAATCACTTAAATATTTTTAAGTAAACTCTTTAGATCAATCATGTCTACTTCAACAAGAAAAATAAAAATATCTGTTAATCCATCACTAGTCAATTAACTCAAGAAGAACAGATAGGAAAATTAACGAAAAGACTCAGAAGGCAAGCTTGTACCCATGTCCAGATGCGGAGTCAAGATTTCAAAGTTGTGAGTTCGGAATTCTAATCGTTTTAAGTTACTAGGTTCTAACATATTAATTTATACATATTCAATGAATTTTTTAAGACAAACATAGGATTCGAACCAAATCTACTAGGTTCAGCCGAACCCGCTCCCGGTACTCTAGCTCCGCCCCTGCCCATGTCTCCTCTTCCCCCACCAACCCCAAATGAAGAACCAAAGGAGAGCCCGATGCAAGTATTCTGTAATCATGCAGGGTTCGGGGACGGGCTACACTCCTAAGGATATAATTTAAACAGTTTACCCTAATACAAGCATCAGTGACGGCTTCTACTGTTCGAACCCGTGACCTGTCCACAAATGAAGAACCCAAAAAAAGAAGAGGAATTTTCATAAAGCACTATAGTTTAGAGCCTAGTAACTATATTGTTCAATTGTTATCAGCTTGTATCACTTGTATTCAAATGTGCAACGAATATAATGTGTCTATTGTATTCGTTCACGCAACGAATACAACTTTTATGAACTATGTTTGTTCGTTCAATTGTATTCATTTGTGCAACAAATACAACATGTATCAACTATATCCAAGGCGAAATATAAAGGTGTATAGGATACAACCTATATCGACTGTATACAGGGGTGTATTTAAAGGATACAACCTATATCGACTGTATTCGCTCGCGCAATGAATACAACTAAGACGAAATACAGAAATATAGAAAAATGAAATGCTCTTTTTGATAGTCGAACTCAAGACCTTCGCTAACTAAGCAGGCACTTTAACCAACTAAGTTACGAGAACTAGTTGCTCTCTTACTTCAGTTCAAAATAATTAATCTGTTGTTTTATGAATTTTCTATAAAATTTAAATATAGTTACTGATGGTAAATATATTGTATATGTTTAATATGTCGCGTAAATTGGCCAGAAAGAAAAAAGAATGCAATTCTCACCAGCTTTCACCTGCGGTTAAGGAGGAAAAAAAAAGGAGTGTTGGGCTTTAGAGGTGCTAGGATTATCTAGAAATGGGCTGCTCCAAAATAAACCTGTCCCACAATCAGGATTTGTGTGTTTTTTCTTTGTGAGGGTTTTGGGTGGGGTTGGGGTGGGGTGGGGTGGGGTGGGGGGTTGAGGGGTGCAGAGATAAGTACACACAAGTTAATGGCTTTGCAACACTCATCCCACACCATGCTCAATTATGACGACTCTTTTTATATGCTTTTGGACATTGCAAATCCAACTTTACTTAATTACAACAAGGAAAAAAAATATAATTGGAGGAATTAATTTGAACTTTTGGAAAGATCATCAAAAGTCAAAACCAACATAGTAATATCATGCTACAAGTTCGGACACCAATCCTTTGCAACCTTCTCTCTCAATATTCATAGGTTGTTGTTCCCTTGCTAATCAAATTGATTTGTATTAAGTTATGGCCTATCAAAGATGGAACTAGTATTTCAATCTTATGAGTTTTAGATTTTAGAACGACGACTTCAAGTGTTAATAATTGAATTGTAAATTTAATATCTGGACATATTTAATAATTTTTTAGCCCAAATACATTGTTTGAGCAACTCATAGCTCAACTTGTGCCTCCGCCCCTCAACGACTTTCAAGAACATGCTTGATGTGGTATAACTATCAAATGATAGTAATTAGTCCATTTGTATATACAGTTCTCTATGTACTTGTTAATGTTATTTTTAATTTGTGTACCTTTTTTTTTAATTTTATTTATAAATTTTAATCTCTGGACTAAAGAAATGCAAAAAAGAAGTGGTTTTCTTGGAAGCAGCAATATAAATAGAAGATGGAGGGTCTCTCTAAAACCAAAAGGCCATATTGTACCATAGCCTCCCCTCAGTCTCACCATCCCATCAGACCCACAACCCTCACTTTAGCTCCCTCTATATATTATAACTGATGATAGAATTCTATTGCATACATAATTAATTTAGTAGAGCTGAGACCTTCTTCCTCTATATATAGCAGCTATATACTGTTTTTCTTACTTTTAATTTGTTAGGAGAATTTAAACAAATTATAAAAAAGAAGGATCGTAAGATGGAAGAGATGATGAAACCTGCATGGTTAGAAGGATTAATGGCTGAGAAATTCTTTGCAGGATGTGGGGTCCACGGGAATAGGAGGAAAAATGAGAAAAACATCTTCTGCTTAGAGTGTTGTCAAAGCTTTTGCCCTCACTGCCTTCCTTCTCATCACTCACATCCTCTTCTCCAGGTCTCTCTCCTACTCATAATTTCTTTAGTTAAAAATAAATTTATATAATTATGTAGCAGATAAAACTTGAATTATTCATTTGAGTTTTTTTTTTTTTTTGAGAATTTAATTATTAATTACTCCTAAAGCTTCCCACTCTTTTGTTAACATGTCTTGTATATGTGCTATTTTGTTATTTTCTTGAATTTGATTTTATTTTTATCCGAGAATAAGTTTGAATTTTTAAGAGTAGAAATTGGGGAACTAATTAAGAAGCTTGCTTCATAAGGTAATTCTTATTAGGTGATATAAAACCATTCTCCTTCTCTTCTTCTTTTGCTTTGTGGCAGGTTGGCAGTGAGGGAGGAGAACTGGCTCTAATTTGTGTAAAACATTAGAATTATTTAGTTTTTTTATATTTTTGAAATTAAAAGAAGTGATTTTCTTTGGAATTGTTTTTTTTTTTTTGTTAAATTGGTGAATTTAAACAAAGCGATATGGGCATTGAGAATTCATATAAGAGTTCCAATTTGCTTAGAATTGAGGTTTAATTATTGTTGGTAGTACTATTTGTTAAATTATTTATGAGTAAATTCCAATTCAAAATTACAACAATAACGATCCATTAGTGGGTCTAGAAACAGTAGTGTGTACGCAGAACTTATCCCTATCTGAGGGAGTAGAGAAACTGCTTCAATCCTCCACTTAAGAAAGATATATTCCAATTGAAAATTATTTTCATGAATTGAGTGGATTTGAAGTTGTGGAGCTTAAAGGGTAGTAAATGTTTTGGATATTTACTACTCCCTCCGGTTCACAATAAGTGATATTTTGGCTTTTTTCTTGTAGTCCAAAATAAGTAATTTTTTCAGATTTCAAGAATGAATTAATTATTTTTTTCCTATATTTCCCTTGGAATAAATAACGTTGGAGTATGTATTGTTTATGTGAAGAGATAGTAAAAGTTAATATGGTCAATTTTATTGCTAATTAATGTTAAAAGGTGAATATATAAAAACAACCAAAAAAATTACTTATTTTGGAGCGAAGGGAGTAACAATCTCCAAGAATCATGTTTGGTTGTATGCTGAATTTCTGTATTGTGTTGTCAATTGCTAAAAGTAGTGTGTTTGGGAGCTATAGTTCCCTCTTTTTGGAGCTGTTTGCTTTCCTATTTTAGAAGATTTCTTTTACACCCAATTTCCCCTGCAAAGCTTCCTCACCTGTTGCTTTCAAAGACAGTTTTGACCCAATTCTCAAAATTAATTTTTTTTTCTTAGTTTATTTTGTCTTTTTCAACATTTTCAGTACTCATTTCTGTATGCTTTTCTCTCACCCAATTCTTTCAGTTCATTTATTCACATTTACTTTTCTTGGATTCAAAGTTGACTACCTTACTTTTTCAGCTTGTTACAGTAGAATTTTTCTAATTCATAAATCTTAGGTAGGAGAATTACATAATCAATGATATAATACACCTTAAATTTAGTTAAATAAGTACTTAAACCCCATAATTATCTTAAGAGCAAAAGTGTTCTTAACACCTTTATTAATTCTATTAATTAAGTTTTGAAAGAAAATTGCTAATGAATAGAACTTTCACAGGAAATTTCAGTTATTTAAAGGATAGAAAAATGTGTTGCCAAAAACATGTACCTTTCCCGTTTACTTGAAATTTACCAAGAAGAGCTTTATTTCCTTAATTTTATCTTTTTTTGTAAATATCAACTTCCTTTAGTCTCCAAGTTCTTTTGTTTCGTTTGTTTAATGAAATTCCTTATTTTCTTGTTTAATTTATTTTTGATATCAACAATAATTGACAATTATTTCTTATAAATAACATCCAAATTCTTTCATTTTTCTTAAAATATTAAGATGGGTGATAACTTTCTCTATGTTAGTATGATCTGACTGAACTTAGTGGAATTAGAAAATAGAGTTACTTCTATTTTGTTTCAATAGTTTTGTGTCGGCTTTACTATAATAAAAATTATTGAACAAATTGCTTGTTTAATTAAAATTTAAAGATTAGCAGTTTCACTTTATCCTAGTTTAATATATATTTGATCCAAATTTCTGCTACTAGTTCTGATTCAAAATTTATATTCGTACTCGGATCTTATTATAATCGATCAGAAATTCTTTTTTGTGGCTAAAGAATTACAATTCTTAAGAGTAGATGACTGAAATTTATTCTTGGTGATGTAAAATAACTATTCTACGAATTGAGACATGAAAAAGGCAAAAAAAAAAAAAAAAAAAAAATTCAGGAGTAACGTATTAAACTCGATATAATAGTTAGGTTTGTATTTTTCTATTACAGGTTAGAAGATACGTATACCAAGATGTTATAAGATTGGATGACCTTGAGAAGCTCATTGACTGTTCCTACATCCAGGTATTAATTATTGTTAATGGAAATACTTGTAGAATTCGTTATTTAAATGCGTTATAATATGATAATGGTTATTATTTGTTTGACAGCCCTACACAATAAACAGTGCCAAAGTTATATTCTTGAACCAGAGAGCACAATCAAGGTCATGCAAGGCTTCTGGCAATTCTTGTTTTACCTGTGACAGAGTTCTTCAGGATCCCTTCAACTTTTGTTCCCTCTCTTGCAAGGTCCACATTCTATTCTTTCTCTCCCCCCCACCCCCCCACACCCCCACCCCACCCACCCCACAAGTGCAACAGAATCCACCCCTCCGCCCCAGTAGCGGAGTCAGAATTTTCGTTAAGGGGTGTCAAAATATATAAAAGTAAACATACCACGAAATTAAGGGGAGTCAATACATAGTATGCATACATTTAATTTTTTTTACCTACCTACAAGTGTATTTTTCCCGCGAATGGGTGTCATTTGACACCCCTTCCTATAAGGTGGCTCCGCCACTGCTCCGCCCCACTACAAATTATGAAACCAAAACAAACCATCTCGTAAATAGAGTCTGATTCAGAATTTGAATTTAATGGATTCAACTTTAAAAGTTCTGACGATTGAACTAACTATACTTTTGAAATTGCTAAAAATTACTCTTTGTATAGGTTTTAGTGTGTGTGCGCGTGCACGCCTATATATTACACAGTCATACTTCATATCGAAAATACTAAATTCAATAGATCCATTTGACACGGATTCCATCTACCTCTGCACATACATGACACAGTTTTTTGAGAAAGAAATTTTGCCACTTTTAAAAATCGTTATAATATAACATGAAAAATGACAATTTAAAATATGAATAATTGTTTATCGAAAGTATCACCAAGCTACAAATAGCCAGCGTATATATATTCTTACCAAATATTTATCTCCTTTTTTTATATGGATGGAAAAATTATCGCTAAGCATATCATAAATGTGCATATTACATTTTTAGCCCTGTAAAATAAATAATTATTCAAAATGCAAGCAACACTATGATGCAGGTTGATTATATGGTGTATCAAGGTGAAGATCTATCAAACATTCTCTATAGGTTTGATGAGTCTGACTTTGCACTCTCCCAATTTGAGGGACTCCACGTGGACACATCTGATTTGCTCGATGAGGAAAGCCAAATTACTCCCAACTCCATCTTAGAAGATCCATTAGAATGCAGAGGCTCATCTTGCTCAAATAATGGCATGGGCAATTCTGGTATTTCACATGATGCCCGTGTGGCGAAAAATAAGAAAAAAAGCAGTGGTTTTTTCCCTGGACTTGTGCTTTCATTGAGCAATAGGAGAAAGGGAGCCCCTCAAAGATCTCCTCTTTCTTGAAAATAAATTAGTGAATATCCTCTAATAAATTACTCCATTTAGTACTTATTGTAATATTACCAGCATTATTAGTTCTCTGGATTTTGTGGGTGTAATTTTATGAAGTTTGTAGCGTCACTCTTAGGTGGGAATTTACCCCAAAGTGATTCCATTGCAAGCCATAGGTTGATATTTAGGGAGGTTTCGACAAGATATTTAAGCTCTCTAATTATCACCAATTTTGTACTGGTTCGATGGAACTTGAACATATAAAATATAAGTAGCTTCTACTATATGATTTCATTTTGTGGTTAATGACACGTGTAAATTTCTTTTCTCTATTGTTCATTTTTATTTTGTTACTTCAGATTTATGATTGTGAATATTGATGTCAACAACAACAACGATTCACTAAAATTTCACCAGTGGGGTCTGGGGAGGATAATGTGTACGCAGATCTTACTCCTACCCGAAGGGAGTAGAGATATTGTTTTCAAAAGACTCTCGACTCAAAAAAACGAAAAAAAAAAATATTAGTACCGTTAACAGATACCATAGGAATAATAATATCATAAAGACCAGAAACATATGAAAAGCAAAAGCAATAGCCAATAAACACACCCGGCATTATAAAAAAACGAAAGAGTAATGAGAACACAACATTAGCCACTAGTAGTCTAAGACAACAATCCTATCAGACTAGCCTCACATAGGTACGAAGTAGAAGTAGACTCAAGTACCTCCTAACTTACAACCCTAATACTCGGCCTTCACAATTTCCTACCAAAGGTCATGTCCTTGGAAATCTAAAGTCACGCCATGTCCTGCCTGATCATCTCTCCCCAATACTTCTTAGTCTGCCCTCTACCTCTTCTCGTGCCTTCCAAAGCCAACAGTTCACACTTCCTTACCGGGACATTTGGGCTTCTCCTTTGTACGTGCTCGAACCATCCGAGCCTCGCTTCCCGCATCTAGACACCAATGGGAGCCACATCCACCTTCTCCTAAATATTATCATTCCTATTCTTATCCATCCTCGTGTGCCCGCACATCCACCTCAACATCCTCATTTCTCCTATTTTCATCTTCTGCATATGTGAGTTCATAATTCGCCAACACTCAGCCCTATACATCATGGCCGGTCTAACCACCGCTCTATAAAACTTACCTTTGAGTATCGATGGCACTCTCTTGTCACACAGAACTCCAGCTGCTGACCTCCACTTCATCCACCCCACCCCAATACAATGTGTGACATCCTCGTCGATCTCCCTACCATTTGGATAATCGACCCAAGGTACTTGAAACTGTCTCTACTTGGCATGACCTCGATTCAAGTCTCACCTCCACCCTCACTTCCCTCGGCTCGGCACTGAACTTGCACTCCAGGTATTCTGTCTTAGTCCTGCTCCGCTTGAAAACCTTAGACACAAGGGGTTGTCTCCAAACCTCCAGCCTCTCATTCACACCGGCTCGCGTTTCATCAATCAGAACTATATCGATAGTGAATAACATACACCATGGTACCTTCCCTTGAATATGGTGTGTTAGTGCGTCCATCACCAGGGCAAATAAGAACGGACTTAGCGCAGATCCTTGGTGTAACCCCATAACAACCAGAAAATGCTTTGAGTCGCCTGCAACTGTCCTGGCCCGAGTCTTAGCTCCATCATACATGTCTTTAATCGCCCTAATGTAGGCATTCGGCACACCTTTTGCCTCCAAACATCTCTAGTGGACCTTTCTAGGAACCTTGTCATACACTTTCTCCAGATTAATAAACACCATGTGTACATCCTTCTTCCTATCCCGGTATTGTTCCACCAACCTCCTAATAAGGTGGATAGCTTTCGTAGTAGAACGACCCGACATGAACTCGAACTGGTTGTCGGATATAGACACCATCCTCCTCACCCTCACTTTTACTACCCCCTCCCAAACTTTCATAGCATGACTTAATAATTTAATACCCTTATAGTTGTTACAACTTTAGATAACACCTTTGTTCTTGTATAACGGAACCACCGTACTCGACCTCCACTCATCTTGCATCTTCTTCATCCTAATAATAGCATTAAACAGCCCAGTCGGTCACTCCAAGCCTGCTCTTCCCACACACCTCTAAAAAATTCAACCAGAATCTCGTCTGGCCTGGTCGCTCTGCCCCTACTCATCTTACGCGTAGCTCCCACAACCTCCTTAACCTTGATGCGCCTACAGTACCTAAAGTCACGGTGACTCTCGGAATGCTCCAATTCACCTAGCACAATATCCTGATCCCCTTCTTCATTCAGAAGTTTATGAAAGTAAGTCTGCCATCTTCTCTTAATCTGAGCCTCTCCCATCAATACTTTACCGTCCTCGTCTTTGATGCACCTCACTCGGTCCAAATTTCGAGACTTCCTCTCTCTCGCCTTGGCCATTTAGAATAACTTCTTCTCCCCGCCTTTGTCCCCCAGTTCCTCGTACATACACCCCAGAGTAGTCCGTCGAGACCCCTAACACCTCTCACGCAACCTCCCTTATGCAGTTTGCCATCGTCGACCACATAATGCTCGCCTCCCTACTGCTCCTCCAGGCTCCCATAGCTCATAATAAGAAAAGAAAAAAACTAATATTGATGTCATTATCAGGTAATCAAGAAATTTTGAGAAAATTATCCCTTATACTCACTTGCAATTTGAATAAAATAAATGTCTCCAATTTTTTTGTGTGTTACTTTTAAAGATTTTCCGTAGTATTATCCTAGTGATTTAATGTGAAAAAGATTATATTATTAAAATAATAATCATATTGAATTACAAAGCCAAATTTCTGAGATATTTTACATGACACATGAAATTCTTTTACCAGCTTTTATTTCAAATTGTGTATTTATTTTAATAGCCATAGTACGGTTCCAAGAGACAAATTAGCAGAACGCACACCTCGTTATAATAAAAGTGTCATTTCGCCGTACACTCTCTTTTAAAGAAAAGTTGTGCTGTTCTTTCTTTTAAATTCCCTTTTTCTAAGTAGTAATTTCTAGCAAAATGCCTCTTACATGTGTATTAGGGGTGTTCATAAAAACTCGAAAAATCGAACCAAATCGAAAATCAAATCAAACTGATCAAAATAATCGATACTTTTTGGTTTGGTTTAGTTTTGGTTTTGAATTTTAAAAACTGATCAAATTTGGTTTGGTTTTGGTTTTAATAAAAAAATAATCGAAAAAATCGAACCAAACCGACTATAGGAGTAGCTATTTCAAATTTGTTATTACACCTATATATATGTATATTGCTATACAAAGTTTTAAAAATATTCTGGTGAATGTTAATTGTTTGCACTTTTAGTACAGTTCTTTACCTTTATATTCTAGTTTGACTGGTAGTTTTCTTCTGTTAAGTGTAAGAATCCATTTCATGTTAAAAAAATATATTTTTAATGAGTCCTTAAATTATTCATCACTATTTGATTCAATTATCATCAAATATCTTAGTAAATAATAGATTTCTCAAAAGACAATTGATTTGATAGTGTTACGTTGAAAATGTGGTAGCCGAAATATGTGTTTGGTAGTGTATGTATTATATTTAAGAAAAAATCGATAAATAACCGAAAAATCGACAAAACCCCACATAAGCCGAGTAGAGAAAAAATCGATTTAGTTGGTTTGGTTTGGTCCTAATATATAAAAAACCAACTTACTTGGTTTGGTTTCTTTTCAGGGAAAAATCGATCCAAACCGAATCATGAACCTCTGTATCAAACGATTTTCCACTTTTACCTAAGTGAAAAATTTTCACCTCCGTCAATGATGTTTTGTAGAAAAAAACTACTCCTCCCGTTCCATTTTAATTGCCAATTTTAGCTCAAAAAATTTTATTACAAAATAACTGTCACTTTAGAATTTCAAGTTTAAATTTTTTACTTAATTTCAACTATATCCTTAATATTAAAGAAGTAGTAATTCTTTTTTATATTGCTCAATCTCAAAAAGCATTTAATAGGAATAACTAAGTAAATTTGTATATTGTATTTTTTTGATGGACTTGTAAAAAGCTAAAAAGATACTTTAAAATGGAATGTAGGGAGTATATCAAGAATTAGATGAAAACCTAGATCTTTCGGAATTCGTTAAAATAATGTGAAGAAAGATATTTTACAAAATGAGAAGCGATTCTAATTTTTTATTTGACTACAAACTTTTTCAACTAGTCGGACTTATAGACTTAGCTAGCGTTAGGCCATAAATTCCAAATTTATTTTGAAAAATCGGATTTGGGTGAAGTTCGGTTTAAAGATGAAAATGTGTTTGGACATACGTTTTTAAAATATATTTTCCACCTTTATTTTGAAAAAATATGTATATAATTCCCAAGTTTTAGAATTTTGGCCCAAAATCAGCTGGAATTTGGGATTTGGCCAAAATGTGGGCAAAATTTATGGCCAAACATGAGTTTTGAAAATAAATTCCAAATTTATTTTAGCAAAACTCATGGCCAAACTGGGCCTTAGAGCTTTGAATTTATTCTTTTTCTTTTCCATTTTCCTTTGACATTGGAGTTGGATTAATCTCAAGTGACAAAATGGTACTTAATGAGTAATATGGTTTGTGACAGTTCCTGGATAGAAGCCACATGTTAACTTATATGTGGACTATAGCATGTGATTAGGACCGCTCCACTATGTATTTCACATGCTTGTCGTATGTTTCCTCTAATAATTGAACCAAGCTAAGCTTCTGAGCCTATCTAAGTGGCATCACTAGGGAATTGCCATGTGCCCAAAAAATATAACCTCAAGTTGTCTTCCACAATTTGTTTTGCCTTTTCGTTGTGTTAGTTTATTAATTATTCTTATTATTACTCCCTTCGGTCCACTTTAATTAATTTTTTAGTTTTTTTGTAGTCCATAATATTTGAATTTTTCAGATATCAAGAAGAAATTAATTTATTTGTTTCAAAGTTGTCCTTGTATTAAAGAGCTTAGGATTATTTGTTGTATTTTTAATGAATAAACTTAGGTTAATATGGTTAATTTTATTATTAACAAAATTCTAAGAATTCTTTAATATATGGAAAAACAATCAAAAATTCAATTAAAATGGATTGGAGTATATTTATTTATATACACAAGGCACGAGAATTCTTTAAATTCAATAATGTTCTTGGTCAATTAAGATTTAAGAGTCCTCCTTTTCCCCTTCCCGACAAATCCCTCTCTTCTTTTCAAAGTTAATTCCAATGTGGAGTATAAATTTGTGCTCTGTTTTATTAAAAACTGTAAGAGATCATTATTGCAAATTACGCGCTCCCCCTTTCATTAATATTTTACTTGTAAAGATTAAGTGACTTCATTTTACAAGATTCTATTGTATTTGCTTCAATTTTTACAAGGTCATATCTTACGTAAATTCGTAAAACTCCTATCGATTCTTGATTTACATGATATGAAAAGTTAAAAGTTTTTCTTTTATCCATTTGGCATTTGAAACTTACTAGACTGACTAGTTCGGATTTGGACGGATGGAGTCTATAAAAGAGGATACTTTTCTACTTAGAGTTTTTTCATTCATAAAGCTCAAACATGATACATATAGTTAAGAATGAATGAATCTTTTTCATTCCACGACACTCTTGAGCAGGAGTGGCAAATGGGCGGGCCGGATCGGATATGGTTCGGATCGAAAATGGGTAATGAAAAAAAAGGATAAACTATCCGATCCGACCCATATTTAATACAGATAAAAAATGGGTTAACCGCCGGATAATATGGGTAACCATTAGGGGTGTTCATGGTTCGGTTTGGATCGGTTTTTCCCTAAAATGAAACCAAACCAAGTAAGTCGGTTTTTCAAATATTAGAACCAAACCAAACCGATTAAGTCGGTTTTTTCTCGATTCGGTTTATGTCGGGTTTTGTCGGTTTTTCGATTTTTTCGGTTATTTGTCGGTTTTTTCTTGAATATAAAAGACATACACTACCAAATACATATTCCGGAGATCCCATTTTCAACGTAACACTATCAAATCAATTGCCCTTTGAGAAATGTATTATTTACCAAGATATATTGATGATAATTGAATCATATAGTGATGAATAATTTAAGGACTCAAATAAAAATATATTATTTTTAACACGAAATGGATTCTTACAATTAACAAAAGAAAACTACCAATCAAACTAGAATGTAAAGGTAAAGAACTATACTAAAATTGCAACCTATTAACATTTACCATTAAATTTTTGAAACTTTGTATAAAAATATACATATATATATATATAGATGTGATAATAAATTTGAAATAGCTACTCCTATAGTCGGTTTGGTTCGGGTTTTTTCGGTTTTTTCTGATTAAAACCAAAACCAAATCAAATTTGATCGGTTTTTAAAATTCAAAACCAAAACCAAACCAAACCAAAAGGTATCGATTTTTTTGGTCGGTTTGGTTTGGTTTTCGGTTTGGTTCGATTTTTCGGTTTTTTATGAACACCCCTAGTAACCATATATTCATGACTTCCTGGATATGATCACTTTTGGGAGAATTCTTAGTCTCTCTAATTTGAGTAACCGCCAATTTGAGGCTTTACAAATGTAAAAGTTAGACTTATTGGTTATCTATTAGTTACCTATTGGTTATCCATTTTCTAAATGGATAATATGGTTCTTATCTATAATTGACCCATTTTTAAAAAATTCATTGTCCAATTCATTTTTAGTGGATAATATGGGTGGTTAACCATTTTGCCATCCCTACTCCTGAGCGAAAAAGGAAGGAATAAAGCATTAGAGGAAGAAAAAAAAAAGACAAAAGAAAGGGTAATAGTGGAGGGAAAAAGGAAGAAATATAGAAAATATTGGATGGATAAATGGGCCTCTAAAGTCATGAGCTCCATAACCTTGCCATACACATTTGCAGAGGCAGAAGCAATTTATGGGCTTCAATGAGCATTCCAAGGTACTAATCAAAGGCCATTTTTAGACTTATTTAATGTTAGTACTTAATTAGTGTTAATGGACCTAGGATTTAGTTGTTGGAGATCTTATTTGCATGGAAGATGATGATTTTTGCGTAAAAAAGTCAAATGTACTAGCTTTTTGCGTGTGTGCAAATAAAATTAGAGCCGAGAAATCATGTGGCACCCCATTCAAGGAGTAATAAGTATGAGTAAACACAAAATCTTGTTTGATGCATATTACTACTAAGATTTCTTTGTTATCTTTGGCTTTTGTCATCCCTAGCAGAGAGAACCAAAAAGGGAGGACATAGAGATACCTTGTCAACATGGTTTATCTGGAGTCGAAATCATGATTTAAAGTTATTGGGTTCGGTATTATAGTTCTTAAGATAAATAAAAGATTTCGATTAAAGTTTGAGCCATATATATTAAATGGATTTCTTAAAATAAATATAAGATCTGAACCAAAATCACTAGATTCGACCGAGCCCGTAACATGTATGCTGGCTTCGCCCCTGGGTTCACCTTTTTTTCTTTCAACTTTTTCCTTTTCCAAAGACCGAGACCACATGTGAAATTACACTGCGTTTATTATTGTTACATCTTTTCTCCTTTGAATAGTTTAAGTTTTGTAAATATGCCATGAAGTACTCCTTCCGTTCACTTTTACTTGTCCAGTATTCTAAAATAGATTTTCACTTTTACTTGTCACTTTAGCATATCAAGAGAAGACAATTTTTTTTTTCTTGTTATATCTACAGTATTAATTACTCTTTTTAAATTATTTTCTTAAATTCATTAAAACAAACAACGACAATAACATACCAGTATTATCCCACACCGTGGGATCTGGGGAGGGTAGTGTGTATGCAAACCTTACCCCTACCTTGTGAGGATAGAGAGACTGTTTCCAATAGATCCTCGGCTCAAGATAGTATAAGTACCACATTGATAAAAATATAGGCAAGAAGGGACAATATCAAAGAGCCATATAAAAGCAGGATAACACAACAAGACAGTAAAGTGATCAGCAATGAAAGAAAACAACGGTTAGTCATAAAAACCTACTACTAACAGAAAACGAGACCGCGTGCCAATACTAATGTTATGAACACTCTACACTACCTACTCTACTACCCTAACTCTCGACCTCCATACCTTCCTATAAAGGGTCATGTCCTCGGTCAGCTGAAGTTGCGCCATGGCTTGCCTAATCACCTCTCCCCACCTCTTCTTTGGCCTACCTCTACCTCTCCGTAGGCCCTCTAATGTCAACCTCCCACACCTTCTCACCGGAAATTCTTTAAAGATTTCTATTTTTTTCTATAAATAGAATCAGGAGGTCTTTTTGTCTTTTTTCTTATTTTTTCGAAATAATGAGTCACCATTGATATCGACACATTTGAGATCGCCAAATGCTCGGGAGTTCCTCTATTCAATCCTTTTCCTTCTTCTTGTTGCTGGATATCTCGTTCGTACACATCTTCTCTTTGTTTCCCGGGCCTCTAGGCATCTGTGCTCCTCCTCCTCACATGACCAAACCACCTAAGCCGCGCTTCCCGCATCTTGTCTTCAATTGAGGCCACCCCCACCTTATCACGAATAGCCTCTTTTTTGATCTTATCTAACCTGGTGTGCCCGCACATCCAGCTCAACACCCTCATCTCTGCTACCTTCATCTTTTGAACATGAGCAATCTTGACTGGCCAACACTCAGCCCCATACAACATCGTTGGTCTGACAACCACTTTGTAGAACTTACCCTTAAGTTTTGGTGACACTTTCTTGTCACATAAAACACCGGAAGCGAGTCTCTATTTCGTCCATCCCGCCCTAATACAATGTGCGACATCTTCATCAATCTCCCCATCCCTGAACAATAGACCCGAGGTACTTAAAACTCCCTCTCCTAGGCATGGCCTGCGAGTCCAGTCTCACCTCCCCTTCCCCCCCTAGAGTCTCGCCGCTGAACTTACACTCCAAGTATTCTGTCTTGGTCCTTCTCAACTTGAAACTCTTAGATTCCAGGGTCTGCCTTCATACCTCTAATTGCGCATTCACACTGTCTCGCGTCTCTTCAACCAATACAATATCATCTGCAAATAGCATGCACCACGGAACCTCCCCTTGTATGTGGCGCGTCAGTACGTCCATCACTAGAGAAAACAAAAATGGGCTGAGTGCTGACCCCTGATGCAACCCCATCATAACCAGAAAATGGTCCGAGTCCCCCCCACCGTCCTCACTCGAGTCTTACTCCATAATACATGTCCTTAATCAACCTAACGTAGGCAACATGAACACCTCTAGCCTCCAAACATCTTCATAAAACCTCCATTGGAACTTTATCGTACGCCTTTTCTAAGTCGATGAACACCATATGCAAATTATTCTTTCTCTCCCTATACTGCTCCATCAATCTCCTAATAAGGTGGATGGATTTTGTAGTCGAACGCCCCGACTTAAACACAAATTGGTTCTCGGAAATAGTCACACTCCTCCTCGCCCTTAGTTCTAGCACTCTCTCCCAGACTTTCATAGTATGGCTAAGCAGCTTGATACCCCGATAATTATTGCAATTTTGCTCGATGGGGAAAATAGCTAAATGGTAAGAAGGAAGTGGCCTCAGTGGAAGAGGAGGGTTAGATCTTCTTTAGCTTAGCTGGGAAGAAAGAGTTTGATCACCCTTGTTCTTGTTTTCAGGAACCATCGTGCTCCAGCTCCAATCTTAGGGCATCTTCTTCGTTCTAAAAATGACATTAAATAACCTAGTGAGCCACTCCAAGCCCGCCTTGCCCACATTCTTCCAAAACTCCACGGGATTTCATCTGGCCTGGTCGTTTTGCTCCTGCTCATCTTACGCATAGCACCCTCAACTTCATCAACTCTAATCCGCCTACAATACCCAAAGTCACAACGACTCCCGGAAAGTTTCAAATCACCTAGTACAACGCTCATGTCCCCCTCCTCGTTCAAGAGACTATGGAAGTAGGTCTTCCATCGCCGACGGATAAGCCCCACATCCAACAAAACTCTACCTTCTTCGTCCTTGATGCACTTCACTTAGTCCAAGTCACGCGCCTTCCCTTCTCGCGCCTTGGCTAACCTGAACAACCTCTTATCCCTACCTCGGCCCTCGAGTTCCTTATACAACCGACTAAAAGCTGCAGTTTTTGCCGCCGTAACTACTAGCTATGCCTCTTTCTTAGCCAACTTATAATACTCCCTATTCGCCCTCTTCTCCTCCTCGTCTACACTTTCCACTAGCTTCAGATACGTCGCTTTCTTGGTATCAACTTTTCCTTGCACCTCTCCATTCCACCACCAGTCTCCCTTTTGACCACTAGAGTAACCCTTTGAGACCCCTAATACCTCTCTCACGGCTTCCCTAATGCACTGTGCAGTCATGGTCACATAGCGTTTGCGTCCCAACTACTCCTCCAAGCCCCCATAGTCACCAGCTTGACCCCCAACTCCTGCGCTTTAGCTTCCGTTAAGGCTCCCCACTTTATACTTTGTTGGCTATACATCGCCCTCTTCCTCCTCTTCCTCCTCTTCCTCGTGATCTCAAGGTCCATGACCAGGAGCCTATGAAGGGTCGAGAGGTTCTCACTTGGGAGGACCTTGCAAAGACCTCTATCGGACTTCCTACAAAGTACACAATCAATCTGAGTCTCCGCCACCGAACTTCGGATGGTAACCAACTGCCCCTCTTCTTCGGGAAACTCGAGTTTGTTATCACCAAATCAAATTCTCTAGCAAAGTCCAGCAAAGACGTTCCTCCTTCGTTTCTATCTCCAAAACCAAAGCCACCATGCACAATATCATACCCCCGGGCGTCGCTCCAATGTGGCCGTTGAAATCTCCTCCTATGAAAAGCTTCTCGGTGTGCGGGATACCACGCACCATCTCATCTAAGTCCTCCCAAAAACGCCTCTTGACTTCCTCATCCAAGCCTATTTGGGGTGCGTACGCACTAATTATGTTAAAAGTAAAACCACCAACAACTAGCTTAATAGTCATCGGCCTGTCATTCACCCTCCTAACCTCCACCACTAGTTCACGGAGGTCTTTATCAACCAAGATACCTGCCCCGTTCCTGCCCCCACCCTCCCAAATACCAAAGTTTGCCCACATCTCGCGCTTTATCTCCTACCCACCTAGTCTCCTGTACACAAGCTATATTAACCTTCATTTTCTCGAGAATCTTCGCTAGCTCTACAGATTTTCCAGTCGAAGTTCCTATGTTCCAAGACCCCACTCTCAGCCTAGTAGCACCCTTAGCCCCCTTAACCCCCACACCCCCACCCCTATGCTGACATCCCCGAGGACAAGACCTTACCCTACCATCATTTACCAAAGCCACTATAATCTATGGGTCACTACGCAAGCGCTATCTCGAAAACAAGCGACCAAAGATACAATGAATTGCCAAAATATAATCTACCACTAAAGGTCACAAAACATGTGAAGAAATAAAATAAAGGAACTAACGGAAACTATAAACTACCACTAAAGGTCACAAAACATGTGACGAAATAAACTAAAGGAACTAACGTGAACTAGAATCTACCACTAAAGGTCTGAAAAACAGGTGTAAAAATAAAACAAAGGGGCTAAAGGAACTATAATCTACAACTATAGGATAAAAAAAGAGGTGAAGAAATAAAATAAAGGAACCGAAGGAACTGTAATCTAAAACTAAATGATAGAAAATAGGTGAATGCACTAATTAAGAGTATAAGTAATTAAAAGAACTAAAATCTATCGACTAGAATCCCAAAACAGTTACTATAAAAAAAAGTAGACATACAAATAAACTAATTGAGAGAACAAGTATACAATCAAGAATTAGGCTTAATCTATCCCAAACTAATTGGTTAACAAGAAAAATAGAAAAAGTGATTGAAGAATAGGAGGTACCAACTCCTGAATAAAGTAAACAAGAGCGACGATACCCGGATTGAAGATGGACTGCCAAATCGACTAGACCTCGGTTGAATGTCACCTCGAGCCAAGATACCTGCCGAAAATCTAACCTTCGACTGCAAAGACAACCACTCGAATGGAAAACTGCTCACCGGAAAGTTGCCTGACCTGAATTCCACAGCCGACGCTAGTAGTTTGCGCCGAAAATCTGATCGTAGAACCTGTTCACAAACACACCACACGCACATGCAGGACGAGAGATATGCATCAATTACTATGGGTATTATGATAAATTTTGTACCTCAGTTATTACTTTTTAAGGGATGTGTATGGTCCATAATGACAAGTAAAAGCGAACGGAGAGAGTAAGTAATTACTCCTGCCAACTCTGAAAAGTTGAAATTGTGAGTCGTAGTCTTATATAGGTGTGGTGGCAAAGCTTTAAGAGAAGTAGAAAGAACTTTTGGAAGTGTGCAAGGATATTCTCTTATATCTTGTAGTCAACAAAAGTCTTAAAAGATTTTAAAGTTTTGAATTCTACTCTTTTTCTCAGAAATAATGTAGCCTCAATTGTAATTAGTTCTTTTCTTATTTGAATAATTACAAATTTAGGTATGCCATTTTACTTCCCTTGTCAGAATTGTGTAATTGAGCATTTGAAATTTTTGAGTTCGAGAACTAAAAATAAAGAACTCTCGTAAAGAGCGATTGCTTTACCCCGTCTAGTATTTATAAATTTTATATTAAAACCGAACTAATCAATGAATTTCTTAATATATATACAAAATCTAAATAAATTCTTTTGGATTCGTCCGAACTCGTAGCTAATACTCTCCCACTGTCCCTGTCCAACGGCGGGGGTGGGGGTTCAAAGTAGTCAAGTGAGTAGGTTTGGGATAGGGGGTTGCTGATGAAAAAAGAAGCCGTAATGGCTTCCTGGCCACTTAAAGTTGTAGGGCTTTTGAAAGCCGATACAGAAACTTTGGACTTTCCCATTTGAATCCTCGAACTTGTATATTTGATAACTAATAAACATATTTGACCGTTGACCATGCACATGTGGCAGTGACAGAGGTGATATGGACAAAGTATGTGCAAATCACCTAAACTAAGCGCTTCACTACAATAATTTTTATTAAAAAAAATCTAAAATAAAAAAAAATACAAAGAAAAAGAAAGAAAATAAGCCCCTGCTCCAAAATTATTAAACCCTTATTCCCCTTGCCACATCAACTTCTCCGAACAAAGTCACCGGTTATTTCAGCAACCAAAGGCGGCGAATCACCTCCTGTCGGAGAAGGTTTAAATCATCGGTTTTTTGCTCGTCCGTTAGTGCTTTGGAAGCCACAGAAGATGATGAATCCTGCTTAAGGGATTGGATGTCAGTTTTGGAGTTTGATTTTGACGAGGATTTATCGGTAGGGTTCTGCTGCTCCTCCTCCCCCCTCCTTCTTTTCTTTCTCCCTCACTCCAATCTTTCCCCGCTTCTTCATCTGGTTGTTCCAGACCCAGTAGAAGTGGTGAAAAACAAAGAAAAACAATAAATTTTATTAAAAATTTTCTGTCAATCTTTCTCTCACAATAATTCCCTCTCTCAAACTGGAAGACAAATAGAGAAAAGAGAAAGACCATTAAAAAATGACGAATTTTGGGTGAAAATTTCTAATTACACGGTCTAACTTCTTCTCTCTTTTGGATTTCACCATTCGTGTTCTTCTTTAACATAGCTTTGCCAGCTCTTTTTTGCCTCGACGGAATTTTAGAAGGTGGCTCATCGACTCTTTGACTTGTTATTGGGGTATGAATTATATGAATTTTGTTAGAAGTGAAAAATGGTGGATTTTATGGAAGTTCATGGCTGATTTTGTTCGGTCTATTGATTAAAAGAGGGGGGNAAAAAAACCAATTTTGTTAGAAGTGAAAAATGGTAAATTTTATGGAAGTTCATGGCAGATTTTGATCGGTCTATTGATTAAAAGGGGGGGGGACCCCAATCAGTTGGGGTTTGTTTTCGCACCCTTGACGCGTAACAATCGCGTTGGTCATTTGCTGACTGGATGGATCATTTGCTGACCGGATGGACACGTTTGTATATGTGTAATACACGCGCATAGGCTCAAGGGTCAGAAGTGTTTATTAGGTAAGGGAATGATGAGTTCGAGTGTTCAAATGGGAAAGTTCAAAGTTTGTGTATCGGCTTTCAAAAGCCCTACACTTTAAAATCATTTCCAACCCAACACCAATTTTGACACCAAACACCATTTTAGTGTAAGATTTGGTATTTTTTGCTCCAACCCAACACCATTTGTTACACTATTTTGGTGTGTGAATAGTGTTACACCTAGTGTTACACCAAATTTGGTGTAACACTATACTATTTTGGTGTGTGAATAGTGTTACACCTAGTGTTACACCAAATTTGGTGTAACACTATTCATCAACACCATTACTATTCACTATTATCTTTTATTATATAACACTTTTAATTTAACATATTATAATGTTATAATTAATTATAATTTTTCTATAATATCTTTATAATATTAATTTTATATTTTAATTTTGGTGTATAATTTTTATAAATTAATTTTCGTATATTTTATTTTTATATAAAATTTTAATTTAATTTTATTATGTTATAATTGCATAAAAATATATAACCATAAAAAAATTGAATAGTGCAATACTGAAATATAATATGTTGTTAGTAAATAACACAATGTTCATTGATTATCACATAAATAAATATTTAATACAATAGCGACTGACATAGATTAAATTGAAAACACATTTAATAACATAATGGGATGAGAAAATTACAACAATAATCTAATACTTTGGAAGCAGGGGCGGATGCATGTTAGAGGGTATGGGTGCTTAAGCACCCATTACTTTTGGAGCCATACACTATTATTTATATAGAAAAAATAGTAATTCATACAAATATATTACTTGAGCACCCAGTCTCAAATGTAATTTTCAGATAAAAAATAATTAAGCACCCACAATTTAAAAATCCTAGATCCGCCACTGTTTGGAAGGCCGCTTTCAGATCCATCAATATCATTAAAATATTGAGTGTATGCTCATTTTGCACTTTGCAATATATTAATAGAGCATTTATGGGAGCAAGATACTAATCTTGCAAGTTGAATATTATGTAAAAATAATACTAAATTTTACGGTAATGTAATATTTATTTAATTATATCTCATCAATGATTTCATTGTTATTTGAGTTATACATTAATATGTATAATGTATAATATTTGTTTATAATATATTATTTAAAAATTAAAGGTATAAAATAATTTTACATTAAATGGTTATATAAGAAAGAAATATGAATTATAAGGGATAAATATGTAAAAAAGAAAAAAGAAAGGAATTGTTTTATAAAAAAATTAATATAATATAGAAGAGAGGGTAGAATATAAAAAGAATATTCTTTTTTGATATAAAAAATTAGTGTAATGGATTGAAGTTATTTGGTGTAAAAAAATAGTGCAAGAATTGGAGATGCCCTAATTGGCCAGGAATTGGATAAAAGGGGGAGGTGGAGGCAGAGGAGAAAGGGCCAATGCAACTACTAATATTACCTGTATATGCTTGTCAAGAAGTGCTCTCAAATCAACAATGAAACTCTACAGCTTGACACAATAACTGAGGAGACTGAGTAGAGAGCAGAGGAGGGGCAAAGGGACCTATGATGGGCAATGGGGACCATCCCATTATGCAGTTTTGGTCTGCAGGTCTATTATGACTAGAGTGTCATCAAATAGGTTAAAACTGTTGCTTCTTCCATTGGTCTCCCTTTTGTACCCAATTCAAGATACTGTCTCCAGAAATGAGGTCATCTCTAGCTCCCCAAACATGATTAATTACACATACATTCAATCAATTTTCTGCTGAAACACATATATCCTTTAATTTTTGAAGTATTTGCAAGCCTCATTTTTTTTTTTTGGTATTTTATGTAATAAAACAATATTTAAATCCACAAATGATCAAGTTTGTTCCTTGTGTAAATTATCATAAGTTTCTGCTCCCATTCTTGGTAACAAATCTCTATTTATCTTATTTCATTGGATTAGATGATTAAGAAATCAATTGATGTGCATCTTTTCTTACTGGCATGATGCGGAATTAGACACGGATAGGCCAGTAAACTATCTTAGAAAGCCTCATCAATCAGTGAAAATTAGAGTT